TTTTTTTTGAGACAGAGCCTCAAGCTGTCCCCCTGGGTAGAGTGCTGTGGCATCACAGCTCATAGCAACCTCCAACTCCTGGGCTCAAGCGATTCTCCTGCCTCTGCCTCCCAAGTAGCTGGGAGCACAGGTGCCCGCCACAATGCCTGGCTGTTTTTTGGTTGCAGCCATCATTATTGTTTAGCGGGCCCGGGCTGGATTGGAACCTGCCACCTTAGGTGTATGTGGCTGGTGCCTTAGCCACTTGAGCCACAGGCGCCAAGCCGAGTGTGTTCGGGGGTTTGTGATTCAGCTGGAACGAGCTTTCTGGTGATGATTCCCCCTTCTCTTTCTTCCTAGAAAAGACAACTGGCAGTGCAGAGTTTAGCGTTTAATTTAAAAGATAAGGTCTTTTGTGAATTATTTCCTGAAGTTGTGGAGGTAAGAAAGTGACAGTTGGGATTTAGCTTTGCCTTCCTCTCTGTTAACACTTTGTTTCAGTACTTGCTGAAGAGGAAGTGTGTGTCCCTGAGGCGGGTGGGCAGGGAGGGGTGGGGGCAGGCCCTGTCAGGACTACAGTGCCAGAGGGGTTTCCCCAGGGTTTCTTGGTGCACAGAGGGGGCATCTGTATGTAGGGAGGATTGAGACTAGCTGGCCTAAAGACCACTCCAGGTGGGCCCTGACATATGGGTCAGGGGTGACCTGAGGCACTGGGAACAGACAATGTGGAGAGTGGGGTGGTGGAAGGGGAGCTGGGCCTCACGGGATGGGGGCCCTGGAGGCACAGGCTCCATGATGGCAACTCACTTCCCTCATCTGTTCAGAGGGGCTAGAGCCCAGTCTGCTGCTTAAAGGCATTGGGCAGTTGAAACGCAGAGGAGAGGAGCCTCCTTGGTGAATCCTAAGGTCAGGAGTGCTAGTCCTAAGAGAGCTGGTTTCTTTAGACCAACCATCGTTTCTTGCTATCTTTCTCTTAGGAAATTAAACAAAAACAGAAAGCACAAGATGAACTGAGTAGCAGACCTCAGACTCTTCCCTTACCAGACGTTGTTCCAGACGGGGAGACCCATCATGGCCAGAACGGGATTCAGCTTCTCAATGGGCATGCACCTGGGGCCGGTGCGAACCTCGCAGGGCTCCAGCAAGCCAACCGGCACCACGGACTCCTGGGCGGTGCCCTAGCGAACTTGTTTGTTATAGTGGGGTTTGCGGCCTTTGCCTACACAGTTAAGTACGTGCTGAGGAGCATCGCACAGGAGTGAGACGCATGGGGCCAGCCCCACTGTTGCTGTTGAGGGACACCGATGCCAGTGCTGGACGTGGGCAGGCTGGACACACTGCCGAGTGCAAGAGGACCCGCCAGATCCTGGGTTTAGCATTCTAAAAACCTTAAAAGGAAAGCGAAAACCAAAATGTGTGATGTGGGTTTGGAGAATGCTCCTGGTTCTCTGCCCCTCTCTGGCCCCAGTGTCCATTGGGGTTGGTTTGGTTGGTGGGGCCGCTCACACTTTGGTTTTTATAGCTTATCTCTTGTATTGTCTATAGACCTGTTTTAGTAAACCTGTTTTTCATTTTATTAGATTTGGTCACTTAAAAATATAAAACTTAATGCCTATTAGTACCGCGTGCGTTCTTGGCAAAGCTCCCTGGCTCATCAGCAGGTGAGAGCTGAGGGGCCTGGTGATAGGACTAGGGCCTGCACGTGGTCAGTGAGGCTTAGCAGGACCAGGCTGAATGGCCAGCATCAGCCATGGATGAGGGGCCAGGGGACATGATATTTGGTCCCAGCCTTTTAAAATGTGCTTATAGTCAGTTGGAATGAAAACATTCTAGAAAGTGCTTGTTTATTATTATTATTATTTTTTTTTATTTTATTATTTTTTTTTTTGCTAAAGTAGAAGTTAAGATTCTGCCTACTCTGTGGCCACTGGGTGTCACCCTTAAAGCCACAGCTAGGCATGGCTGGGGCATGTCGGCCTTGTTAGGAGACAGGCTCTGTGTTCTGGAGCAGTGTCAGCCCAGCCCTGCCCTCCCTGTGCTCTGATGCTGCAGGGGCTGTATGTCCTCAGGTACCTGCAGAGCCTTTTCTCCGAATTCTTAAGTCCACAAGGTCCTGTCCTGTACAGGTGGAAGGTGAAGATCCCAGTGTCCTATAGGGGTCCCCCCAACAGGAGGGTTGGTTCTGTGCCCTTTGAGGAGTCCTCTGAGCCCTTTTGCTGACTGTGCAGGCAGGCTCAAGTGCTCCTTCCGAGCTGCTGGCTCAGGGCTCACTCATGAAAGGGCCCTGAAAGGGTATATCCCAGTGAGTATCCAAGCTGTGTGGGCTCAGTTTTGGGATCCATGCCGCCCTGATTGCTGATGTCTTCCCCTTTTTATGTTTGCATTTTGTGATTTCACCTGCACAGGAGATTTTGAAGATGTATCACATTTAAAAAACTTGTCTGTGAGTGGTGCTGTGTCCAGTGGTGGACACAGCCACAAGTTATCACCAGGAGGGTCCCACTGAGGGTGAACAGCCCTCCAGAGGCTGTGAAATTGATGTGCAGCCATACACGTTCATCTTTGTCTTTGCTTTTTAATCAGTTTATTTAAAATTGCTCTAATTTACCATTTGTATGTATTTAATCCACTCTTGTGAAAAAAAAATCTTTAATTATATTTTTGTTCCTAAGTTTTATGGTGTGTCAGTGTTGGTAGAGATCCTTGTGCATCCAGAGGCTAAGAGCTGGGGAGGCCTATGGGCAAAGATCACTCCTACCTGGCCTGGGGATGGTGTGTTGGGCACGGGATTAGGCCTGTGTGGCAGCAGTGGGTACAGCTCTGGGCCCCGTTCCCCTCTGGCGCTGGACTCCAGCACTAGCCAGTCTGGAGCCTGGCTTGAGGTCGCTTCCCTCAGCAGCGCTGGTTCCAAACCCTTGGTGTTTCCTGAGGCTCTTGGGATGTAGGATGTTAGCAACTAGAGTTTGCCTAGTGCATGCTGTTGTTTTTCACATGTGGAATCTCCACATTGACAACCCTTGGTCAGCAGAGCAGCGGGGTCTGTGGTGCCATGGCATACTGCCTATACTGACCTAGAAAAAGGAGATCTTTGACCCTGTTGGGCTGAGTGTATCTGACCCTTTGTTCCTGCTGACCTTTTTTGGAAGAATCATGGGCCCCTCTGCCCCTCTATGGCATCCCCTGGCCAGCACAGCCCATCCCTCACTGTCCAGACTGTGCTGTGAAGTCTTTTTTTTATTGAGACAGAGTCTCACTTTGTCACACTCAATAGAGTACTGTGGTGTCATAGCTCACAGCAACCTCTAACTCTTGGGCTTAAGAGATTCTCCTGCCTCAGTATCCCTAGTAGCTGGGACTACGGGCGCCTGCCATGACACCTGGCTCTGTTTTTTTTGTTGCTTAGCAGGCCTGGACCGGGTTCAAACACATGAGCCCCAGAGTAGGTGGCCAGTGTCCTAACCACTGAGCTATGAGTGCCCAGCCTGAAATCTTTCCATATAGGGAGAAAACTCATAAAAATTCATGTCTGGTAGATGTGGGTGGAGAGCATCTCCTGGGTGGATGCCCTGGGCCGGCTAGCTACAGGCAGGCATCCGGGTCTGAGAGTAGCAGCAGTGGCAGCCCACAGAATACCTGCTGGGGACTATCAAGGGTTCTTTGCTATTTCTCCAGGGCCTGGGGGTGTCGGGGTATCTGGGTTTGGGGTTGGGAATTAGGGAGAGCCAGCAGCTGGTCCGGAGCCTCCCCTTTCTGGGGGCAGCTTAATAGATTCAGAAGGGCAGGGTCATTTTAGTGGTTTCCTAGGGGACTCCTGCACTCACCAGAGGGAGCATGGGGAAGCAGATCTGAAGGTCTTGTTCCCCCTCTATGCTTGTGCCTTGCAAAGCACTATCCTAGCTGCTCTCTGTCAGTACAGGGCTTTGCTCCTTATGAAGTTACCTGGAGATGGGAATGCAAAGGCTCATCCTCCCTGGCTCTTGGGTGTGGTTTGACTCCCTGTAGCTCCCAGCCTCACTGGGACAGGCCTTCAGGTCCAGCCTTCCAGCTGTTGGTTAGCGTTGGGCAGAGATGGAGGCCCACCCTCCAGTCATAGGGAAGCACCCTGCCAGCTGGTGTTCTGAGAAATGTGCAGAGAAGTAGGGTGCTGTGCCTGTAGAGGCTCTGGTGGCCCTAGCAGGGCCCTCTTAGGCTAAAACACTAGCCCACCCCAAGCCTGGATTGAGGCATGTGGGGGCTGTTTTCCTGACCTGTGCTGGGGTCCCAGCAGGGCTGGCTATAGCTGGGGCTGAAGGCACTGTCTGAGGAGCTTAAAGCTACAAGAATGCTCTCTAGGGAGGTTCCTGCTCCTCCGGATCCACTTGCTGAGAGTTGCTTGGTGCCTGTGGCTCAAGCGGATAAGGCGCCAGCCACACACCTGAGCTGGCAGGTTTGAATCCAGCCTGGGCCCACCAAACAACAATGATGGCTGCAAGCAAAAAAATAGGGCATTGTGATGGGTGCCTGTAGTCCCAGCTACTTGGCAGAGGCAGGAGAATTGCTTACACCCAGGAGTTGGGAGGTTGCTATGAGCTGTGATGCCATGGCACTCTACGCAGGGGGACAGCTTGAGGCTCTGTCTCAAGAAAGAAAAAAAAAGAGTTGGCCTCTCGGTCTTGTCCTTGGAGGTGGATTCTTCCTCCAGAGGACCAGGAGGGTGAGGGGATAGTAGGGGGTCCCTGGTGGGCACTTTACACACGTCTTCAGTTTTGTCTCTTGGATGGCTGGGACTGGGGATGGGGTATCTTGCTTGGCCACCTTCACCATTCTCTGCTGATGTCTGGAAATCTCTACGGGGTATCTGGAACATTTCAGTGCTATCCACTGGGACCTCTATGCCCACTATTCTTAGCCTTGACTGTATATTTGGACAGCTAGCTGGCAGCCCCCACCTCTTGGCCACTGAGGGTAGAGGGGAGGGGGCAGGGAGGGGCAGATGGAAGAGGCCCTGGATCAGGTAGGTGGTGGAAAGGGGCTAGAACTCTACACAGCTGGTGGACAACACTGCACTTAGCAGGTGAAGGCGGTGCCAGACAAAATCAAGTTGTGATGGGAGGGGAAGGATGGAGGAGGGGGCCCTCCAGCAAGGGATAGGAAGTGCAGCCCCACCCACAACCCAGTAGCCTACTCCCTGGAAGAGCCCATCAGAGTTCAGTGGGGGTCCTGCCCCCTTCTCCATCCTTTGAGCCCTCCCCTTGGAGTTTGTGGGGTGTAGGAGGAGGAGGGGTTGGGGAGGAGGCCAGGGCTTCTTGGGCTGCAAGGGCCCAGTGCAGAGAGGCTGGGGACTGAGCAGGTCTCATCAGTGGCAGTGTCTTCGTTTAGTCAAGGCGCCACTCTGGCTCATCTGTCTCAAACATGTACCAGCAACCTGGCATGCCCCAGGGCCTTACCCCAAGGCCACTCTGATTACTGCCACCCCCAAGAGAGTCCCTGGTGCAGGGTTGGCCAAGCTGAGCTACCACAGGATACAGCCATGTAGTGCTATGCCTGGGCCTGGACTGCGGCCCTCCTCTGGCCACAGCTCAGAGTCCTGTTGGGGGACTTGGTCTCGAGCCCAGCCGGCACTCAAAGGCCCACTGGCTGCGGGTCACACACACTGCCCCCCCCCCCCCCCCAACGTAGGTAGGCCCAGTTCACAAGGGCATGAGCAGGTACCACTTGGAAACTGCCTTTCCCGGTTTCCCTTATAGGCTCTGTCTTTCCTGGCTCTGACCCAGGTCAGGCTTCCTGACCAAAGGCAGGTTGTGGTCTTGGTGGGGATTCACTGTAGCCAGAACAGCTAGCCTCTGGGGTCTCTGGGAAGGGATTGGGGAGAAGGGAGGGACTTTCCAGCAGGGGCTGCAATTAACCCTTTGAAGCACTTGGCCTGTTAAACCCTGAGCAACCTGTGCTATTAGATGTAATTGCTGGGGACTAGGTGGGGGCTCCATGGTTCACCAGACCCCATGCTGGGAATCCTGGCCACCCTACAACTTGTAATGTTTCTATCCCAGGGCTTACCTGCTCCTGTGCATCCCAGGCCCTTCATGGCCAGTAACCCCTGTCACGAGAAGTGCTCTGCCTTTGGAGGACTCAGGTCTTAGTCTGTACAGGGGACTCCCGCAGACTAGAGACACTCCCCCCCCCCCCCCCCCCCGCCCATCTGCTTCAAACCTGGGCTTCTGCCCTCTTGAGCTGAAGGTCTCTTGAGGGGTTTTGAAGTGCAACCTGGGGCCTCATGCTGCTGTCCTGTGTGGTGGGCAGGATTGGGAGGGGAGCAGAGGTGGTGTCCCTGAAGCCCCCTAGCCCTCATGCCTTTGATCCCAGCCTCCCTCCTCCCAAGGGCACCTCTATGGTAGTCTGCCCAGCTGCCTCAGCCCATGCAGCCCCACCAGAGCTTGAGGTCCCATTTTTCCCATGGGCAGGCCAAGGAGTGTTAAGGAGGCAGCTCTCCCAGCTGAGGAGGGTGGGCTGGTTCTTGGGGCAGAAGGGTACAAGGCAGGGGTGGTTGACAGAGGTGGGATCCAACCAGCCACCTAGGAAGGGAGGAGGCACCACTTGCACACTTGGTGGTAGTTCCCTTAGAGAATAAAGACCAAGATCAGCCTGGGGATTGTTAGAGGTGAGAGACCTCTATCAGCTTGGTGTGTGCTCCCCTGCATCTGGGATGCCTGCTCTTCCTGTGGGGTGGGTTTAGTCTCCATCTGCTCCCTGCTACCTCAGTCCTTGGCATGTCAAGGGGAGGTAGCAGCCAGGGAAACAAGCAGACCCCAATGTGAGAGGAGGAACTGTCCCTAAGTGGGGCCTAGGTCAGAGATGGGGAAGCCCCCAGGAGAGAGGCCTGTCTGGTCCACTGGAGAGGACCCTGGAGACCAGACCTATTCTCAGAACCTGGCTCTTGCTGGGTTAGAATTCAGGCTGACCTCAGGATGGGTCCATGGCCTGGGCCATGACTCCTTGGCAAACCCTGCCCTGGCAGGGGCTCCCTCCTGGCCAGGCAGCTTCTGTTAGATTCCTGCCCATTCCACACTCTTGAGTCTGGCATGTAGACCTCCTTGCTTGGTTCCCAGGCCAAACTCTTCCCCAGCTCACACCCCTTAAGCACAAATTTCTCCTCTAACTGGAATTGGGGCTCTTCTGCCTCTGCCCTGGCTTTGGGGCAGGAGCTGGGCCTAAGAAGAGCATTAGGCAGCTCTGCCTGGCCCCACCCAACCCTTGCTTGAATAGGGTGGTCCCGCTAGGCTTAAGCCCGAGGAGTGGGGCTGGCCAGAATGCAGAGACAGCTTGCACTTGGACCAAGCCCTGTTCCCACTACCCTCAACATCCAGCCCTAACCCTTGCATTGGCTCTTGACCTGACGCTGTCTCTGAGACACTTGGACAGGCTCTTGGACTACTGGCTCCTGTCCTGTCCCTACTCCCCATGCCCTCACCACCCCTGCCCCCACCTCTGCCAGGACCAAGCCCATGTTGGAGTTAGGAACCCAGGCATGGCTCAAGCAGAAGCCTGGTCTTTGGCCTGCCTGTGCCCCTGCAGGGGGGATGTCTGAGTCCCTCGGAGTGGCTACCTGGCACTGCTGGCCTTTAGCATCTTTCTTGTGTCTGTCTGTGTCCCTTCCAACCAAATGCCCTGAGGTTCTCAGCTCTCTGCTGGGCACAGTGGGACAGAGGCCTGGTGGTCAGCATGCTAGCCCAGTTCCCTGACCTTGCAGCCTCCTGAAACCTTAGGACCAGAGTTGTCAGATGCCCACATGACATGGCTAAACTTTATCCAGCAGCCAGACTATGGGGTCTTGAAGAAATGGTGCTGTAGGCGAGACGAGAAGTCAGTGACCCCTAGGCTGCCTGGGGCCAGCCCTTCCCTTCCCTGTGGTCTGAGCCCAGGGAAAGCAGTGGCTGTGACTCCCACTGGGACCCTTGCTCTTCTACTGCCTCTCTTTAGCAAGGCCTCTTGGGTCCCCCAGGACCCAAATTCCTGCTTTAGGAATTTCAGGAGATGCTGAAAGGTAAGGTTCCCTTCCCCATCCAAGGCCAGAGGTACTGGCCTGAGCTGACCCTCTGCAGCTGCTCCCCTGCCCACAGAGGCTACTGAACACGAGTTTCCAGGGCTGCTTCAAGGACTGGGCCCATAGCTGGTGTCTGAGGCCTTCCACTGCCAGGTGAGGGGCCTGCAGATGGTGGACAAGATGACGCTGCTGGAGCTTTGTGGCTTTCAGGCCGTGAGTGGGGATGGGGCCGGGGCCTGGGGCCTCCAGAGGCCTTGACCAAGTGCAACAGGGAGTAGGGTGCAGGTGTGTACCCTACAGGCAAGATGGGCCCAAGGCCACCACTGATAGTCACCAGGCACCTATATGGGCAGGGGCACAGAGGGTGAGGTGTGGTATCAAGTCAGACTGTGGGCCCAGATCCCACCTTATGTCAAAATAGGCCTGGGGTTGTGGACAGCCATGAGGCCAGGGAGACCCTCTCTGTGTGGATTGGTGGGGCCTTGTTTGCTCCTTGGGATCTGGAACCTGTGTCCTGAAGCCTAGGTGGGCAAGAATGGAGGGTCAGCCCCATCCTGCCCACTGGTGAGAGAACCAGGGCCCAAGTCATGGGCTGACAATCCCTGGGGCTTCCTCCAGGCTGGTTTGCAGGGGAGGGTCCAGGCCCTGCAGCCAGCCACTCACCTGCTGCCTCTCATAGCCCACTGCCCAGGGTGCCTTCCTACGGGGGTCTAGCCTGAGCTTGTCCTCAGGCCAATTCACAGTGCCTATGTCTGGCATCTTCCAGTTCTCTGCCAGCCTGCACGTGAGTGATCTTGGGCCCACAGCATGTGTGGGGTAGGTAGGGGCCTTCCCAGGTAGGTGCCGTATTACTGGCCCTGGGCCCAGGTCCCATTGGAGAGCTGCCACCTGCTCTGCTGGGGACTCTGACTGGGTGTGGGGGGTCATTGTCTCTTGTCCTCTGGGCTGTGGGGTCACAGCTATCCTCCTGGGCTTCAGGCCCTCCCTCACCCAACCCCAGCAGCCCCTCCTGGGCCTGCCCACTGTGCACACCTCCCTGAGGGCTCTCTCCACAGGCCACCATGCACTGCAGGACCAGTCATGCATGAGTGAGCCCCCAGGGGCTAGGGTCCCAGGTGGGCATCTAGAAGGGACACGGTTCCATAGGGATCTCTGGGCCCTAGGGTGTGGTCTTGGCCCAGGGCCAGCTCTGCCCTCACCTTGTCCTATGTGATCTGCAAGGTCCCTGGAGGCTATGTCAGGCCTGGAGAACAACAGCAAGATCTTCATGGCCTAGGTGCAGGGGCTGTTGCAGATGCAGGTGAGGCCAGAGCAGGGGTCATGGGCCCACTCAGGCTCAGGCAACATAGTGGGTGGACTTAGGGATCATGATGAGCTTGGGGGCCTCGGTTCAGCCCCTCCAGCCAGTGGAAGCAGGAGGAACACTGGCCACATGGTCACTCCAGACCCCTGGGCCTGAGTGGCTAGACTGGGGCCACCACAGTAATGTCCACTGTGGGTGATTGTGGGCTGGACAGTATGCAACACTGGTACTGAGGTGTTTGTGGACAACAGCTCTGGGATTGTTTTCACCATCTACAGCAGCTCCAGCTTCTCTGGGGTGCTCCTGGGCATGCGAGGAGCTGCCAACTCAGAGGATCCCCCCTTAATACCTTGGTCACTGCAATAAAGCGTCCTTAGCTGGCTCAGCACCTGTGGCTCAAGCAGCTAAGGCACCAGCCACATACACCTGAGCTGGCAGGTTCAAATCCAGCCCAGGCCTGCCAAATAATGATAGCTACAACTAAAAAATAGCCAGGCTTTGTGGCAGGCGTCTGTAGTCCCAGCTACTTGGGAGGCAGATGCAGAAGAATCACTTACGCCCAGGATTTGGAGGTTGCTGTGAGATGTAATGCCATGGCACTCTGCCTAGGGGGACAGCTTGAGGCTCTGTCTCAAAAAAAAAAAAAAAAAAAAAGCATCCTTAGCTCTCCCTGTTGCCCTTGGGCACTACCTGGTCATTGTGTTGGTGCAGGTGGAGGTGCCAGCTGCTGAGGTTATGGGCAGGGGCAGAAGGGTCCACATGCAACAGCGAGAGCTCAGAGCATAGCTGCAGATTCCCATACACAGCCTTGGGACAGACTTGGTGGGGCTGGGGAGTTAGATGAGTTCCCTCCTGGCAGCTTCTGCACCTGCTGCGACTGTGTTTATCCTGAGGACAAAGACAATTGTCCATGCAGGTCCCTGCTCAGCCCTGCCTATGGCCAGAGACTTGGAGGGCAGTGGCTATGGACATCCCAGGCCCTGTAGCAATGGAGTGCTGGAATCCTGGGAGGCTATGGGAGAGCCATTCGGGGTGTAGAGGCCGCACACAGGCTGTGCTCTGTGTGGGGTTGGAGGGTACCCACAGGCACAGGTACAGTGGCCCCAGCTCTGCTGCTTCTTACCACCTTCCCCAGTGATACTCACCATGCCCCAAAGGCTAGGGTTCCTCTGGGCCTTTTGGGCCAGAGTTGCCCCTTTGAGACCAAACCTGGCCTTAGGGCCCCACCATAGTCCTGTGCATTTGGGGACCCCCTACTCCTACCTCATTCTGGTTCTCTCAAACTCAGGCCTAATATAAATAGGCCACAGGATGTCCCACCTCTGCAGAGCTACCAAGGTGCCATCTCTGGTTGGCATTGGGACCCCTGAGCAGGTGGTGGTACCTTCCAGCCCCAACTCCTCCAGAAGCTCAGGAGGGCTGGCCCAGGGCCATCTCCTGAGGGAGGATGGACTACAGGGGGTGGGCAGGTGGGTCATAGGCAGGTGGGTCCTACGTGAGCTGGGTGGGAGGTGGGTCAGGTCCCCTAGAACCTTGGCCTGTCTGGGAGGAGTCACAAGAAGGCCCTTCCCAAAGCCTACAAGTCAGTGAGACAGCCAAGCCAGCCAAATGACCAACCAGACAGTGTTGGCTAGCATTGGTTAGCAGTGGGCTTGGCTGTTGACCTAATCCCACCGCTCTTGCTGGGTTCCCCAGGGGCTGAGGCTACCTGAAGGAGTCCCTGCTTCATTACTCCAGTCTGACCGAGGTTGTCCTAGCAGCCAGTGAGGGCCCATGTGGAGCACAATCTTGGGGTCTCTGTCCAGGAGGCTGGTGGCAGGTGTGACTGCCTCCCTCCTCTTCCCAATTTCTGAGGACCTGATCTGGGGCCCTAGGAGCCCAGGTCAGATACAGAGCTTGGGGAGCCCACTTGGCTCCTAGCTCAGGGCTCCCTTTTGGGGCACAGCATTTACACTGGGGAAACTGAGGCTGTGTGCTAGAGGGAATTCCCAGGGTCTCTATGGAGGCATAGTGGCCCTTGGGGAGGGTGATGGGGCAGGTACAGGATCTGCAGAGTCAGGAAGCATCCCCCCTCTCTGTCTGGCCAGGTCCTGGGTCACTCATCCTTGTCTTATTTTTCCAGCCCCTAGGAATAACCCCACCCTCACACAGGAATGGGCTGGGGCTTGACCTCCTGTGCCATGCCAAGGCCTGGCCACACCAGGGTGGGGGTCTCCTGAGGGGCCAACAGTAGTCATTCTCCCACCTGTCTAGTCCAGGAGTCTGTGAGGACAGGTGGAGCCCTGAGAATAGGACCCAGGGCAGGATGGCTGAGAGGCAGGGAGCTCTGCCCTCTTTGTGAGGGGAGGCCATTAGCTACTTACGTCTAATTCCCTTGGGCTGTGCTAGGGCCAGGTGGGGTAGGCAGCTGATGTAGGATGGGCCAGGCCCCACCCTTCACCAACCTCAGTTTTGGCTGTAGGAGGGGTCTGGGCTTTTGAGGTGGGAGGGAAATGCACATTACACTCCCCCACCCTGAGTTTGGGTCCCTGAAGGTGGGTGCAGGCCAGGCCAGGCCACTGTTGTTTACAGCAGTCTGGCAGGGGTACCAAGGGGGAGAGGAGCCAAGGAAAGGGTGCTTTCTCCTGTTGGAGACACTCCCTTTTAGAGCTGGAGTGGTGAGAGGCCCAAGTGCCCAGTCGCTCACCAGCCTCTGGTGGTGGCCAGAGCCTAGTAGTCAGCACACTGCTGACCCCATGCCCTGCCCCAAGCAGCGCCCTGTCCTCCCTGAGCTGAACTGTGATAATCCAGTCTAACCCTGCTGCCTACCAAGCTAGGGCACGGGGCCAGTGGGAGTTGGGGCCATGGATTCCCAGCTGTTGGGGACCATTCCCAAATCATGGTACTTCACCCAACATCATTCCTGAGCCCTGGTCTCAGGGCTATGTCCTGGCAAGTCCTAGCCCCTCCTGGCACTGAGGCTGACGTGCTGGGGCCCTACCTGTGTATCGGATCACAGCCTGTCCCCTGCACTGTCCTTACTGCTCTATCCTGGTGTGAATGTCAGGCTCAGGGCACTGGAACATCCTCTGGGGGCCCCAGGTCTGGCCTGCCATCAGGGTAAGTGCCTTTGCCAGCACTCCCACCCCATCTGCCTCTAGGTACCCTCAGAGTTTGGGGTGTGCAAAAGGGCCCCACACCACACCATCTGGACCTGGGGCACCTGGGTGTGAACTTTTGGTGCAGCCCAGACAGGTTAACCTTTTGAGGCCACAGGCCAGTTGGGGATCTGATGTTACCCTTGCCCACCTGGCAGGGCTTATGGCTAGGAGGGTTCTGCTCCAAGGGCCCCCAAGGAGCTCAGCATGGGCTTTCCTTCCTATTGTCCACAGGTCCTGGACCCAGACTACACATCCCTGTCACCTGGATCAAGAACCAAGAGTGGCCCAGGGGCTATGGATCCATGTGGACGCATCACGGGGGCTGTGTGTCTTTTTTTTTTTTTTTTTTTTTT